CTATTTTTAGTAGAGACGGGGTCTCGCTCTTGCTCAGGCTGGTCTCGAACTCCTGAGCTCAAACAATCCGCCCGCCTCGGCATCCCAGAGTGCTAGGATTACAGGCGTGAGCCACCGCGCCCGGCCTGGTCTTGTTTTTTTAATGACTTTAACCATCTTGGCTTCTAATTTATGTTGCTTAGTCCATTTATATTTAATGTAATCACTGATGTGGTTAGATTTAAACTTACATCTTGCTATTTATTTTCTATCTGTCCCATCTAGTCTCTGTTCTTTTTTTTCTCTTTCCCTACCTTCTTTTGAATTAACCAAGCATTTTTAATTATATTTGATATCTTTTATTGACCTGTTAACTATATCTCCTTTATTTTTTTCATTGGTTGCCCCAGGGCAGAGGACATTTCTACAAACTTTTTCTTATAAGGCCTAATGATAAATAAACATTTAGACTTTTGGATCACATGATCTCTGCCACAACGACTCTACTCTGTCACTACAGTGCAAAAGCAGCCATAGACAATGAGTTAATGAATGGGCATGGTTGTGTTCCAATAAAACTTTATTTATAAAAACAAACAGCTGGCCCTGGGCCCATAATTTACTGACCTCAGCTTTAAGGTTTGCAATATCCACCTTTTTCATAGAACATTCTACCTGCCAAAACTGTGCTACTTCACATAGTGTAAGAAACACAACAATGTACTTCCATTCTTCCTTGTCTTTTACGCTGTCATAAATTTTGATTCTTTGTATATTACAAAACCCATTATACATTATTATTTTGATTTAAGTAATAATCTCTTGAAGAAAATTTTTAAATGAGAAAAAAGTCCTTCATATTTACCTACACATTTACTATTTTATGCTCTTCACTCCTTGTATAGATCTGAGTTTCCATCTGGTATCCTTTTTCTATCCTTTTCCTGAAAAATTTCCTTTAACATTTCTTGCAGTGTGGGTCTCCTACAGACAGATTCTCTCGGATCTTGTTTGTCTGAAATGATCTTTAATTTGCTCTCATTTTTGAAAATTATTTTCACAGAACACAGAATCCTAGTTTGCCAGGTTTTCTTTCAACCCTTTGAAGATGTCATTCTATGTCTTCTGGTTTGCACTGTGTGATGAGAAGTCAGCAGTTATACTTATCTTTGTTTCCCTCTATGTAAATGTATCTTCTTTTCTCTGGCTGCTTTTATGCTTTTCTCATTTCCAGTTGTTTCCAATAATTTAATTATAATAAACCCTGGTATGGTTTTCTTTGTGTTTATCCTGCTTGAGTTTCATTGAGCTTCTTGGACCATGGATTGAAATTTTTCTTCATATCTGAAAAATTTGGAGGCATTAATTTTTCAATACTTTTTTCCGCATCTCCTCTTCCTGGACTCCAATTATTTTCTCTCTGTGCTTAGATATGGATAATGTCTACTGTTTTATTTTCCTTTATTCAAATTTACTCACGTTGAGTTCTGCAATAATTTTCTCTTAAGCCTACCCACTAAATTTTTCACTTCAGATAATATATTTTTCAATCTAGAAGTTCCATTTGGTTCTTTTTTAGAATTTCTACTATCTCCTTTTTATATTCATGTCTTTAATTCTTTGAACATATTAATAATAATTCTTTTAAAATCCTTGTCTGTTAATGCCTATAAATACTGGTTCTGTTTCTATCTGGGTGGTCTTTCTTCTGATTATAGATCACATTTTTACATTTCTTGTCACATAGTAATGTTCTTTGAATGCTAAACATTGTGAAGTTACATTGTTAAGTATCTGGATTTAGTGTTCTCCTTAAACAAATATTATTGATCTTTTTACTGACAGGCAGGTAACTGATTTGAAAATCATCTTGACTTTTTGAGGTTTGTTTCTGGAGTAGCCTTTACCATAGGGCTACATTAGCCCTACTCGTACCATGGTTTGGGATCTCTATCAAGTATAATTTCTAATAATTGTTCATTTCATAGAGTCCCCAGTAGTTTTTCTTTATCTCATAGTTTTCTCACAGAATCTTACCCTATGCAGGCATAGCTTAGGATTCAGCTAAGATTCAAGGCAACCCCTATGCAGATATATCCGGGGCTTTTTCTCAGCACAGCTATCTCCTCTCAGGTACTCTGCCCATAAGTACAGACACCTCAATCTTCCTGAACTTTGATCTCTAACTCTCCAACTCAGCAAGATTGCTGTGTACTTCTTGCTCTTCTCGAGATACGCTTCCCTGCTCCATACCTTAAATTTTGATTCAACTAAAAAGGCAAGGAAATCACACAGGTATTTATTTCGCTGCTCTCAGAGATCTCAACCCTACACTGCCTGTTGCCCAATGTTTGAAAATAATTGTTTCATGTATTTTGTTCCATTTTCTAGTTGTTTACTGCATGGGGTCTAGTTGCATACCAGATACTCCACCATAGCTGGAAAGAGACATCTGTGAGTTTTAAAGTTTCATTTTAGACATTTAATACTTTATCAGGAGTTTTTTTGTTGTAAATACAGTGTTAGATGGAGATCCAACTTCATCTTTTTCCAAATAGATTAACATTTTTCCTGGCTCCATTTATTAAGTGCTCCCTCCTTTTACTTACTAACTTGGGATTACAACTCTACCAAGTTTCATATATATATATACATGGGTCTGTTCCTGAGTACTCAATTTTATTCCCCTAGTCAATTTTTCCCTCCCACTAATATCACACTCTCAATTACTATAATAAATCTTAACACTCTCTAGGGTAAATCCCTCTTTCCTGCTTACCACCTTTAGATGGGCTACTTCTTAGTCCTTTCTTTCGCATATAATATTTTAGGCCCATTGAGTGTTGTGATTAAGCCTGCTGTAATCTATATTGGACTTGCTCTGAATCTGCATACCAATAAGGGGAGAACTAACATTTTTATGATATTAAATACTATTTTCCATTAACATAGTGTATCTCTCCATTTATTTAAAATCCATCTTCCTTAACATTTTTTATAAAGTTTTGATTTCCCTTATATCAGTTTTATAATTCTTTGTTACATTTATTCTGTAATACATATTATTATTAATGATGTCCTCTCATTATATTTCCAGTAGTCTACTGCTAACATAAATAAATGCAACCTTCTTTCATATATTAATGTTACATGAAGCTGCCCTGCTAAATTCTCCCATCATATCCAGCAATCTGTAGTCTCGTTTCCTCCATCCACGTCACCGATATACTAGTACAAGCCACTATGATTTCTCAACTGAACATATGCAACAACTTCAGTCCTGTACTCTACCCCCCAAATAAAAGATTCTTTACTGATCTATTTCTCTGGCTTTTGAATGCATTGTCTCTCCTGCTTGGAATATTCTTTCCATCTTCTCATGGCTAACCTAATTCCTGCTATTTTTTTAAGAGACAGGTCTCACTTTGTTACCCAGGCTGCAGTGCAGTACCACAATCATAGCTTGCTGTAACCTCAAACTCCTGGGGCTTAAGTGATCCTCCTGCCTCAGAATCCCAAGGAGCTAGGGCTATGAGTGTGCACCACCACACCCAGCTAACTTTTAAATATTTTGTAGAGACAGGGTCTCACTATGTTGCTCAAACTGGTCTCGAACTCCTGGCCTCAAGGTGATCCTCCTGCCTTGGCCACCCAAAGTGCTGGGATTACAGACATCAGCCACTGTGCCTGGCCACCTGTTTATTCTTTAAGTTTCTGACTATTGCCCTCAAATACTTCCAAGGCTAGGTTAGCTACTCCTCTTGTGTGCAGAGTATCACTGTGCTTCTAACTCTTACTACCCTAAATTATTTCTGTGTCTCCAATTAAACCATATGCTTTTTGAGAACAAACCTTTATCTTAATCTTCACATATTCCCAGAACTTACCAGATTCTGACATGTGGCAGAAGATCAATATATACTTGTTCAATGAATGTCAGAATAATTAATATTAAAAAGACCCATCTGAAATAGAATTGTTTATGCCATTTTGCAGATCCAGAAATAGATCTAACTACAAATCTTCATGGTTCAAGAAACATTACTCCACCCTACTTTTACAAATGGTGTCCAAAATATACGGTAAATGTTTTATCATAAAAGAAAAAATGTTTTCTCATTTTGAATTTATGTTCTGAATAACTATAACCTGTCACCTATGACTAAAGAAAAAGGAGGCCACAGGAAAAAAAGAACAAAAGAGCAATCAGCCAAATGGCAAAAAAACACCCACAAAAACCTTACAATTAAAATGTCTATAAGCACTGAGATTTTTATTAGGGTGATGAACCAGACTGGTTTGTCTAGGGACACAGAACTTTCAGTGTTAAAACTGGAGAATCACTAGACAAACCAGGGCAATCTGATCAGTCTAATTTTAATATTAATACAAATATTTACATTTATATGAAACACAAATTCAGATTCAATTATTTTTATTGTATAATAAAACATGTAAGGCAAGGCCAGGCACAGTGGCTCACACTTGTAATCCCAGCACTTTGGGAGGCCAAGGCAGAAGAACCACTTGAGGCCAGAAGTTCAAGACTAGCCTGGGCAACATAGCAAGATCCCATCTCTACAAAAAAAATTACAAATTAGCCAGGCACAGTGATGCACACCTGTAGTCCTACCTATTTAGGAAGCTGAAGCAGGAGGATTGCTTGAGCCCAGTAGTTTGAGGCTGCAGTGAAGCTATGATTGTGCCACTGCACTCCAGCCTGGGAAAGAGAGTGACACTCTGTCTCCCCACCCCCCACAAAAAAAAAAAGGAAAGCAGAGTATATTTTAGATGTGTAATATAATGTTCTTTAAGTCATGCATATTTGTATTCAAATTTCAGCACCAACTCTTTATTATTGGCAAGTTACCTGGCCTCTCTGATCATTAAAAAACATAAATTATTTTCCTACACTGATATAAATCTCTCAGAAATTCTAGAACATACATTTTTTAAAGGTGGAAACATATGCCCAGGTTCATTTCCATTTCTTAAATGCAAGCTAGTGTTAAAATTCTTACCTGTGTTACTTCCTCTATACCAGTCATCTGGTACTTTTTCATCCTTTCAAATACTGAATGATCTGCACAGCCCCCCTGTGGCCCATATTTATGGGGATAGTCTAAAACACAAAGAAGAAATATCTTTACTGTCACATGTTAAGATATAACTAGTTATCTTACAAATGAAAAATTAACTGTCATAATTAATGAAAGCCATAAATTCTTATGGAGCACCTATGGGAAAGGCATTCAACTAGGCATTTTTACTTTAAAATCTGACAGGTTCCTAAGTTCTCCTTCAACAAAAATCACTGGTCTTTAGTTTTTTGTCATATGGATGATCTGTGAATTCTAAAAAAGGACAATAATTATTCATTATTCAGGATTTAACTTTTTCAATCTTTCCCACTTAAGATACATAGAGCATCTTAAAACTGCAATTTACCTGATTTGTAATTTATAAACTTCCCTTCCGACACATTAAATATTCTATGCCACAAATCTACAAAGCCTCCTCAACCTGAACTACAGGTAAGCTGATACTATATTTGGCTTGGATTCTTCCCACGAATACCAATTGGCCTCGAGGAAAAGTAACCTAAAAACATACTCTACGGCACGGTAAAAGTAGACTAAGTTTAGATTTACTCAATGTATAATTCAAGTGACCGCTCTGCTTCACAAACCAGTAACTATTTTATCATTTATTTTCCCTTAATAAAGTGATTAATTTATCCTGAGCTGGACTGGTTCTATTTCTAGACAACGGTTCAATTTAGTTTAGTCATTTAAAAGTTCATTCCACTCTTTCCAAGTTCTACATACTTCTTTCTCCCTTGTTAAGGTCTTCCTTAGCTCATGAACATATTTTGTAATTCAATCTAGTAATCACAATTAAAAGAACTGGCAAAATAAAACTCCAAGATGTGGGTATAAGAGGAAGCACTGAAAAATCCTTAAGTAGCTTATAAATGTAATACACAGAAATATAATTATAAACGCTGCAAGCAGTTTCTTAAGAAAATCTTGAACCTGAAGCGGACATTAGGGAACTACAGTTGTCCCTCAGTATACTCGGGGGAATAGTTCCAGGACATTTCCTTCCCATGCCAAAATACAGGCATACTCAAACCCCAAAGTCAGCCCTGTATAACCTACATCTAGAAAAGGTTGGCCTTCTGTATATGTGGGTTTCACATCCCACGAATACTGTATTTTCCATCTAGTTTAGTTTTTTAAAATCTGCATATAAGTGGACCTTCAGTTTAAACCTGTGTTGTTCAAAGGTCAACTGTATTTCATTGGAAATTCTAGTTAAATACTAGAATACAAATAAAAACTGACAGGTGGGAGGTAAGGGTTATAGGCAATCTATCTACACTAATACGACAGCTCTGACTGAAACTTTAAATTAGTTTTTATCAGAGGTCAAGGTTGTAACAGCTATAAAATTCAATCAATAAATGTGAAAGGAGGGCCGGGCGTGGTGGCTCTCGCCTGTAATCCTGGCACTCTGGGAGGCCAAGGCTGGTGGATCATTTGAGCTGAGTTCGAGACCAGCCTGAGCAAGAGTGAGACCCTGTCTCTACTAAAAATAGAAAGAAATTAGCTGGACAACTAAAAACATATATAGAAAAATCAGCTGGGCATGGTGGCACATGCCTGTAGTCCCAGCTACTTGGGAGGCGGAGGCAGTAGGATCGCTTGAGCCCAGGAGTTTGAGGTTGCTGTGAGCTAGGCTGACACCACGGCACTCTAGCCCGGGCAAAAGAGTGAGACTCTGTCTCAAAAAAAAAAAAAAAAAGAAGTGTTGGGAAGAAAAAAAATGATATACTTAGTGTTTTACTGTTTCAAAGATTGGCTTTGAGAAAGTGAAAATACAGTATCATCCAACATATATTTAGTGAGATTCTACCACAAAGGCTGGAAAGTTTTACAGCATAAAATGCCAAGATTTTCAATTCTCATCTTTTAGTAGATTTGGAGTGTTAGCAGCACAATGCCTTCTTCTGCTATTAATTTTAACGAGAAAATATCACAATGAGCCTTGCCTAGATTCTTAACAAAACCTAGCTTGCCTGGACCACCAGCTCATGAAGTTCCTCCGCACCAGGAACACTCATTTCAATCAACAAAGAAAAAATGTACAGGAATACTCATAGACAAGTATATATATATGTATATACACACACACAAGTTCCTTATTCAGTTAATAAACTTGATCCCTTGGTATTTTGCTAATTGTTTTAACTATTATATAAAGCCAAGTTATAGTTTGATATTAGTTATTTATATATCCACTATTTTGTGATATTTTGCCCCAATACTGGGATATTCTATCCTCCAGTAACTAAAAATGTTGCATGATTCTTTGGCTAGTTTTTCCTTAAATCATGGATAAGAAAACGGTTTACCTACTTCTTACGAACAATAATGAATATGATAATGAATCCTGTTGCTGAATCTGGCAGTGACTAGGCGAATAAGTTAAAAATGCTTTCAGAGTACTAATTTATTAAATATTTTACCATATAAATGGATGAGACCAATTTATATACTTTCAAACTTTTATTTGAATTTCTGTTGCAGGGTAATAAGCCACTAAATTATGATTCACTTACTATGGTCTATTCTTCCTATTCCTTTATGAGTTAGTTTGTACTGTCTTAATATACATTTGTTAGAATAAAATTAATACTTAATAAGAACCAATTTTAACTTTATCTTCGGGTAATTTAAGTTTAATAAAAAAACATATATTTAGCAACATTTGATGACATTCTTATAGAGGTGAATTAGACACACACACACCCCCCAAAAGAGCTTTTAACTACAGTTCTAATTTATCCTAAAACTTCTTAAACCATCTTTATAACCCCCATACCAAAAACTGCTCTCTCTCACACAATGACATGAACACAGACACATGAGCACATAGAGATGAACCCACTTCCAAATAAAAGACTATTTAACTTAGACTTTGAAAAGAAAAGCCCCATGATCAAATCATTTACAGCCAGTTTTCGGGTGAACTTTTCCTAAATGTCTATCACGCCTGATTTCCCCATCCCGCACACTTTACCACTACCAAACAAACAAACAAAAAAAGTACGCTGGGGTGAGTGGGTGGAAATAATCTGTTTATCAAAATATATAACCTTTCAAAGGCCCCCACACCCATGTATCAATCACTTAACCAATTTAAAAAAAAAAGTGTTTAAATTTTCAGATTTTATTTGAAAAAACAAACAATTTTACTCTTGGCATAGTTTGGCAGTCATTGACTATAGTCAAAAGGTTCTTTGCTATTCTGGGCACAATTCTAGACTAAATTTCCCAGCCTCATGTTAAGTGTGGCATGTAACCAAGTTCTAACTGAAGGAGTGTAAGCAGAAGGGTAGTAACCAGCCAAGATCCTCCGTGGTCTTTTCCCCTTCTGAATGGCTAGTAAATGACAACCTGAGAACTGTACAATAGTATAGGCACAAAATAAAGGAGCCTGAATTCCTCAATCAGTTCTTGAAGAAAAGCTGCCTGATAGGGAATACTCACATTAGACTGTTACGTAGTGAGAAATGAGCTTATAGTGCATTTTGCCACTGAATTTGGGGGCTGTTTGGAATTGTAGTTAACATTACCTAAATTCACAGTGAAAACTTTTGTCAAGGAGAATAAAAGAACTCATTTTATATCTGACCTCCACTGACATTTGGCGAATTTTTCCTATCACAGATAATTCCAAAATAATCTTGGCCTAGCATATCAGCAATTCCTTAACAGTGTTAATACGGTGTTTTTATTGTCTTGTTTTCTGAAGGTTTTCATATATAACTAGTTTTTACCCATTCAAAGATATAAGTTTTGCCCCGAAAAATCAGTCATATAGTTTAAAGACTGATACTCGGAGTACAGTAATGATTTCTAAAGATGAAAGCTTACAGACTCTACAACACTCAGATTTAATATTTTATATGCTTGGAGAAATAAGTACTATTATCATTTTTCAAACGGTTTTTCAAAAGACAATTTACCCAATGTAAAATCTTCAGTTTTAGAGAGCAATAGGCTGTGAGGCTCATCAGCAATTTAGTTATAGTCCACCACATAATGAATACATCAAAAAACTTTTTTTTGCTTCCATGTATAATTTAGTTCCATGAGTATACTTAAAGATATACATCAGTTGCTATGCCTGATTTGACTTAAATTTGAGAAATAACGTACTTAGTAATCTGATGATGACAGAAACTAGGATTTACCTTCGTTCAAAGCATACTGTGAAATATGTTTTGAATCTGCTCCTACACAGGCCCAAAAGAGCCACTACAAAATATTCCTAGAAGAAAGAATTTTATAGCTTCCACACACTTGAACAATTTCATGTGCACAGCATTTAGCTGAACATCTTACTAAATTTAGGAACAGAAAAAAAAATCCCTATCTTAAACAACCGTAACATCATTTTCTTTAATGTAATGATATAAGGGAAGTCAAAGAATAATGTACATGTCTGATTTATATATAATCAGCAATTCCCATTGTCCAATATCCCAATAAAATATAAAAACTTCCCAGATATTAAAAATACTAAACATACTGACACTTTGTTGTCATCAATACATTGGCGCTGATGCTAGGTACTTGACATTTGGATTAAGGTAACCAAATAAATCCTGTCAGGGGTATCCACCTACTTGATAAAATGCATATGTTGATACATTTATATACATACACACACACACACACACACACACACACACAGGCTTATAACATTGTATGTGTAGCTGATACTAGAGTGTATTTTTTCCTACCACTCTTCCACACAGAAGTGCTATAGCCAGCGTTCAGCGTAATACCTCACTGCCTATAGGCTACTATCAACAAGAGTTGAGAGGAAGCCAGTAGAAACTTAAGAATAGAACCACCATGCAGAGCAGGCTGTTACTCCCCAGAATGAAAAGACAGCCTAGAATCAGTAATAAAACTGTCCTGACTCTATCTCATCACCAATAGATTGCTTTGGGCCATAATCAAGAGAGTATCTATGTTTCACAAAACCACCTCCTCTGGTACATCATCTGGCAGGGGTCAGGAGAACTCCTCTGCAGCATTCTTGATC